GAGTTTATTCACAAGTTGATCATGGGAGATGAAGCTCATTTCCATTTGAATGGACATGTGAATAAGCAAAAAATAAAAAAGAATTAATTAAATACAGTCATTTAAGAAAAAGTTATTTAATTTTCAAAATGTAAAGTGACTTCTGGGCCACCCTATATTAGATGCATTAGTCTTTTGCCTACTTTGGGAAAATGCCTTGAAACTCTCTTCATTAACAGAATAAATTGGTATTTGAGACAAAAATGCTTTTATAATGATTCTCAGTTCGGATTTACTCCTCGGAAGTCCTCTGAAGACGCCATTATTCGCCTTTGTAATATCTTCCAGTGTGCAAAGAAAATGAAGTATACTACACTCCTTATTTTCCTGGATTTCAAAGGAGCTTTTGATAATGCTTGGTGGCCATCTATCTTAAAAATTTTAAAAGATGCTGGTATACCACATAATATCTATAACCTTCTTAAAAGCTTCTTGAACGAGAGGACTGCTGAGCTTCAGCTTAATAACGAAGCTAAGGTTTATTCTCTACAAAAAGGCTGTCCTCAAAGCTCTGTATCCGGACCTACTCTTTGGAACATAATCATAAATGATCTTTTAAGTCATCTCGACGGTTGTTTAAAAATTGCGTTTGCAGACGACTTACTATTAATAAGTTACTTCGAGTTTGAGTGATACAATACTATTAATTTTCCAAAGAAGGATTTTTTTGAATAACATTCTTTTGAGAGCACAAGAAGTTCTAGATTTTGTCCCCAGTTGGACGATTTCTCATAAACTCACTTTCAATCCTTCAAAAAGTAAAGCTATGCTTATTCCCAATACATTTGATGAACAAAATATTGCTTCTTTGATGCTTGATAATTCTCCGTTGGAATTTGTAGAAAATGTTAAATATCTTGGTGTCATTCTCGACCAAAAATTAATATGGAAAAAGCAGCACAATTCCTTTCTGCTAAATGTGAAAAAATTATTAATGGCTCTCACCGAATTGCCAAAAATACTTTTGGAGTAAGTTACGATGTTAAGAAACTCATGTATAAGCAATGTATTGTACCTTTCATTTCGTACGGCTGTCGTGCTTGGGGACATGTTCTTGCCAAGAAGGTTAACAAAAGAAATTTAAGAAAGATTCAACGGAGAATTCTTCTTCGTATTATTAGTGGTTATAGAACCTTAAGCTATGAGGCTACTTTTGTTCTTGCAGGAGTTCCGTCTATTGATTTTGAAATTGCATATAAGAATAATATTTTTGAGTCATTGGCAACTCATGCTTCGGAAGACTGTATTAATGGAATTGTCCCCTTCACTGATCTTCCTCATCCCGCTTCTTTAGAACCCATAAATTTCTGCGATTATAAAGAGACTCCTGAAATAAGTTTTCATATGGTTTTCTTTACAGATGGCAGCAAGATGAACAACAAGGTTGGCCTTGCATTTGTTTTTTTGAAGTCCATTCCGGGATTTGTTTTCTTAGACACCGTATACGGAATGAATGTACAGTTTTTCAAGCAGAACTTCTGTGCATTTATCTTGCCGTCAAATGGATCCAGGATCATGGGACAACATCCTCAAAGTACCTTATTTGTTCTGATTCTCTTTCTTCTCTTCAACTTTTGAACAGTATTACCAGCTGCGATAAATTAGTTATCGAAACCCTAGTAACTGTTAGTTCACTTAGAATTAGAGTATTGATATCTGCTTTGCTTATGTGCGTGCTCATCATGATCATCATTCGTTTCTACGGAAATGAAAGAGCTGATTTCTTAGCTAAAGATGCCTTAAATTTACCCATTGATATCAACATTAGCATTCCAAAGAGTTATTGGAAGTCCTTTCATAATAAAAAGCTTTTAGCTATGTGGAATGAGGAATACATTTCATCTTGTAATGCTGAAGTCACCAAAAAGTTCCTTCCTTCTATTTACCATAGACTGAATTCCGAATCTTTCCTCTCGTTAAATTTTAAAGTGTCTCAGTTTTTATCTGGTCACGGTAAATTTGCAAGTTATCTGTTTCGTTTTAATCTACGATCAAACAATTTATGTGAATGTTCAAAAAGAGTTCCTCAGGATGTGGAAAATTTGATTTTCTCGTGCCCTACATTTGATGGCCCTAGATTATGCTCACAGAACGATTTGAAAATGTTCGGAGTGACTTGGCCAGTGAACTTATCGGTTTTCGTGAAGTCCAGACTGCTGTTCTCTTATTTTGTTCGCTTTATTTATGCATGTAATTTTTAATGTTTATTTATACATGTAACCTTTAATGTTCTAGTTAACTTACTTCTGTAAGCCCCGTGTTGTACATATGTGGTGCACGGGGAGTCTGTATGTTCTCAAAGGAAAAGAATCTTGAAGTATTTTCTGTTATTCCCTCAACCAGATTCAACGCTCGACTGAACTGTTATGTTACTGACTTTGTTTTTAATAAACACGCTGCAGCAGCCAACCTATTTATGAGCGTGCCATACAAGTATGGAAGATTCGGAAAAGGAATGGAAAAAGAAACCATCGAAGAAATTTAGAAGGTCATAACAGAACAGTCATCAGCTGTAAAAGTATAAATATCGGCTGAACAGATTTGTGTTTTTCTTGAAGAATTTCTTAATTCTTATGAAATGCTTCTATTTTTATTATTTCTGAGCCCAGCAGTACCTGTGAGCTCTAGAGATAGACGAATAAAATTTTTCGAAAATTCACAAAGTCGTCAATATTGGCTACATTTCATGGAGTAGGAGGCGAGTGATTTTAAAGCTGTTATTTCAAATGGCCGTACACTTGCAGCTTAAGTGATTCGTTAGGAATGGCCAACACACATCGGTCGAGCATTTGTGGTGGCACAGGATGCAAACGTAGCACAGGATGCAATTGATTTAGAATGGTGATTTTTCCATTGCAGTTTTGATGGCAAGCAAGCACCCTGGGGAACGGATCCCATGGCCTGCCACCTATCTTACCCTATCACCAAAATCTCTCAAGAGAACTCTTGAAACGCAGTACATTTTGTCAGAGACACTATACGTTTACAAGCATCAAATTTTTCTCCTGAACCCAGTGATACAACAACCAACAGCACTAACCACTGTGCCGATCAGGGTGGCAGTAATCAGAAAGTATCAGTTTTGAACTCATTCTCAAGAGGCACTGAACATTATCTTAAATCAGCAAATTTCTTCTAAAATATATTCATGAATTTTGTGCATAAGAGTTTTACTTATTGGAACTTTTGCTGTATGTGAACATAACATTTTATATTTAGACATTACTCCCACCAACAAATTTGAAGTTTCGTTCGTAATTCCTTTTATAATTATTTAAAGATCTCTGCAAGTACATATGCATTATCGTCATTTAAAGGATTGAAACTTTTAGATACTTTTTCTAAACATCATATATGTAATTTTGATCCAAGGTAAATTTTTAAACTCTTCACTAAATTATTAATAATCGTACAATTCAAGTCAAAGCAATTCAAATTAAAGCAATTCAGCTCAAATTAAAATTATGAGTTAAACAATCATATAAATTAGTCGCCAGTATACGAATCAGGGATCTTCCATCTGCTAGCTCACTACTACTTCATCACATGAGTTTGGAGAGATGAGATAATTCTTATAATCTCTTACACATAGAGAGTAGTTGGGAGAGTCACAATACCCACTTCTTAAACACAAAAGCTGACAAATTACTTTCCGCCAAATTTGACTTTCAACATAATAGTTATAGGTTTTATGATCGTGGATTAATACAGTCTCCCCACTCCTGGAAGTTTGTTATTATATTGTATTTATTATTTGTTGGGAGTTTATCATATTCATTATGGAGAGATGAGATAATTCTTATTATCTCTTACACATAGAGAGTAGTTGGGAGAGTCACAATACCCACTTCTTAAACACAAAAGCTGACAAATTACTTTCCGCCAAATTTGACTTTCAACATAATAGTTATAGGTTTTACGATCGTGGATTAATACAGTCTCCCCACTCCTGGAAGTTTGTTATTTGTTAATGCGCATACATAGCATTGTAGTGCATGAAGTAGCTTTAATTTGGCGCAATTCATTTCTTGTGTTCCAGATTCCGAAAAAATAAAACGTCTCTGCAGTGATGCCCAAACAAAAGTGTGTGGGAAGATACATCTGTATTTTGTCGACTGCGTCCTGGGCCTCTTTGTGTCGCCCTTTAAGTAGGTAGATTAGAAGGAATTAAAGCATTTCCTTCTTACGTGCCCTTTCGTATAAATAATATCATGTTCAGCAAACAGTTTATACGAATCCCAGCTAGGACATATCTGAGTTGTTTTCATGCGTCCTGACTTCAAAACCTCAAACCTCTTTACAATATATTATCGAAGAACAGGAATGGTGTATGGTGTTGTGGTGTATTTAATTATGGCGTGTGTGTGTGATTATGGCAAAGCCTCGAGGGCTATCTGCCTAAGGGGAGGGATGCCTTCGTGGAGGACATTCTAAGGGAAACTGGCTCGTATACACGTTACACATGGGGAAAACCACGAAAACGCCCATGCAGCCAGCCCGTTCGCGGGATTCGAACCTCGGACCGAACTACCAGTGTTCAGCGACTTTACCGCTCGGCCGCTGGTGGGCCCCTATTTAATTATGGCAAAGCACACTAGGGCTATCTGCCTAAGAGGAGGGATGCCTTTCGTGGAGGACTTTCTAAGGGAAACTGGCTCGTATACACGTTACAGATGGGGAAAACCACGAAAACACCCATGCAGCCAGGCCGTTCGCGGGATTCGAACCTCGGACCGAACTACCAGTGTTCAGCGACTTTACCGCTCGGCCGCTGGTGGGCCCGAAGAACAGGAATGAAATTTTGTATAACTTTTTCAAATTGCTCCTTAAATATGCTGAAACAAATGTTTAGTGTTTTCTTGACAAACCACAGCTAGTTTTATTAAATTAATATGAAACCTTTTCATTTCTGTAACGCTTTGATAAAGGAATTTCAAAGGTGTTAAAACACATCTACTTACTTTTACCTGAGATCTTCATTTGCGCATCAAAGTGGACATCTTTTATAAATTTATTTATCTTCAGTTAAGGGAACCTGTAACAAATTTGATCGCTTAAATTAAAACCAATATACATATACTACACGTGCATTCATTTTATACAATTTGAAATGTTTACTAATTTAATAATTTTTTAATCTAAAAGAAAAATATTAGTTTTGTTATTCAGTATCATTTTAGAAATGAGCTGATATGATGAAGGATCATTTAAATATTCAATAGAACATTTAGTCATTTACAATAAAAAATTATAGTTAAAATAATTAAAGTTTAAATAAAAAATTATACTTATTGATTTCGGTTTTATGTTTTGCATAATATAAATAAACAAACGTAATGAATATTGATTATGATGATTTTTTAAATGAAAAAAAAATTTATGTCATTTTGTATAGATACTTTGCATGACGATTGAAGTAATTGGAGAGACTATCATCAAGCCTTGCCGTAGAGCTGATGATTTCATTTTGCTCGTAACTTCGTAATCCTTCCTCACTTCTTCATCGCCCAGTCAGACAATTACATGCAATTCTTAGAATATTTTTACTATTTTAAGCATGCTAAGAGAAACACCGCTTTGAAATTAAACTAAACATTTCTTGTCACACTACTATAGGCCTTTTTGAACTTATCGTAATTAGCTTTAAAAAGTATTACCAGTTTTGCAATGACTATAAAATAAGATATCAATATATGCTTTTAAACAGCAACGATTGACGTGGGGATATGATTTCAAATTAATTCATTCTCCTGCGCTACTTAAAATTACGGAGAGATAATTTTAGTGAGAGGAATAAAATCGAAATTATGTATAGATGACCTGTTAATAACTAACAACATTATTAGTAAAAATCCATGGAAAACTTAATGTAGTGATTCCGGAAATCCTGCTGTAATAAATAACCAAGAAAAAATTGAAAAAAATAAGAGACTTATTTCTGGATAAAGTAGTAAAATTTCTAAAACCCTTATTTTAGGTACTTAACATAAAAAAGTAATAAATTATTCCATGAAACTTGAACAGTACTGATAACGGAAGCATGTAATTCAGCAGAAATTCAAAAAATTAGATTCGGCGAAGACAAATTAAGTTGCAGAATTTCTTATTTCATCCTGTATTTAAGTACCTGCCACTTAATAACTCATACATATTAATAACATATAACATTTTAAGTTAAAATAAGGTATTTCTTCCGCCTTCCTAGCGTTCCTTCGTGGTGTAGTGGTCAGCATACTGAGCCGGTATTTCCGAGGTCCGTGGTTCGATTCCCGGCTAGGGCGATTGCTAATTTTTCATCTCTTCGGCTTTCTCAAAAACATCCTAATGTCTCTATAGTGGCGCCCGAACTAAAAAAGGTGTTGGATGAGGATTCTCCACACCCAGGATTTGGCAATTGGGTCCCCTAAACACTCCAGTCGCCCTTTAAAAAGAGGAGTATATAAGGTATTTCTCCCTCTTTCCTAGCGACCCCAGTCGCCCTTTAAAATAGGGAGGATATAAGGTATTTCTCCCGCCTTCCTAGCGTGCCTTCGTCGTGTAGTGGTCAGCACACTGAGCCAGTATTTCAGAGGTTTATTCCCGAGGTTTTGATTCCCGGCGAAGGCGATTGCTCATTTTTCATCTTGCCTGCTTCTAAAAAATACCTAATACCTCTACATTATATACTAGAATTTTAAGGGGTAGATAGGTCACTATCGAGTCATATAGTGAAAATAACTTTCTCCGTTATCTTCTTTCCGCTATATATAGAAATTCACACTATAATTCTGAGGAAGCAATACAAAACAGGAAACTTATTTCTTATTATAATTCAAGATGTTAACTATAATAATAATTGATTCATGGATTCGGTTTGTATTCTTTACAGTATTTATGCACATCATTCTTAAATAAAAAGTTAATTGAAATATTTCAAACTAAATTTGATTAACATTAAATAAAATAAACCAAATAATTTAATTTTATATGATAAAAGTTAAGAGACTTAAAGTTTGGTAAAAACATCATTTAAAATTTTAATAAAATCACAGCTTTCTAAAGCAGATCAAGACTATTTTTATTACTTATTTCTATTGTTAATATTCTTCAATATCATCAAAACCTTGATTATATTTAACTGATAAATGTAAAAATTATTCTTATTTAAGCAGAACTATTATATTAAATATATAACTTATTTTTATTTATTTTTTGTGGGAAGATGTAACTTTTCCCACAGCTCTTTACACGAATATATGCTTCTGATTCTTAGATAATATTTACATACTGCTTCGAATTCAATGCACAACATAGGTTTTGGTCCGGCCCTTTTTCTAGCATGTGGCAGGATAAAAAATTAAAGATATTTCTTCTAATAAAATGCTCGAATATATGTAATGATACTAATTCAGAAATCAAACAATAAAAATTAGCGTTATATTTTCAAAATTTTCACAGGACTAGTTTCGATGTTTTTATCGAACCACCATCCTCAGCTGCAAACCCGCAAATGAACAAGATAGTAAATAATGATTAGATAAGATAAGAAAGCCTGGACAAGCGTAAGCAAGTGGCGCCGTCTGTTGGTGAAACCAGAACTAAAACATAATTCTTTAAAGGCAGAAGGCAAAGATGGATTGGAATTAGGATCATTAACTAGAACAGAAATATTTTTCTGTTGCTCAACATTGTTGGTCCAAAAATCCCACTTTCAAATTTTCTGCTGCCAAAATTATTCAAAAAACATCTTCCATTGGAGAACTGTATTTCTAGAGGCATTTCACATTCAAAAAATCTTCTGTTCTCGTTAACGATCCTAATCCAATCCATCTTTGCCTTCGGCCTTTAAAGAAATTATGTTTTAGTTCTGGTTTCACCAACAGACGACGCCACTTGCTTACGCTTGTTTAGGCTTTCTTATCTTATCTAATCATTATTTCTTATCTTGTTCATTTGCGGTTTTGCAGCTGAGGATGGTGGTTCGGTAAAACCATCGAAACTAGTCCTGTGAAATTTCTTAAACTATAACGCTGATTTTTGTTGTTTGACTTCTGAATTAGTATTTGTTCGGCGTGTTATTGTGTCTTAATATGTAATGATAATGTGAAAAGAGCTGTTGCGGGTGGCAAATTAAAAAGTCATAGAAATATTAGTTTCAATTAATTTAATGAAAAAATAATTTTAAGTATTTAAATTTACCTAAAGTAACTCTAATTTTCATTAAAAAAAACCCACAAATAACAATATTTATATCATCCTATAAAATATTATTCTACATACATTACCATGTAAAATGTTAAAAAAATATTTGAATAAGATCGCATTCGTTATACCTGATTTCCAACTTAAACTGTAAACACATGTTTTCACTACTAAATCAAACACGCACAGGAAATTCTAACACAAAAGAGAGAAAAACAATGCGAAAGAAAGGGAAAATATAAATTACTTTACATATTTAAAACGAAGTACCTATCGAAACTTATTTTTTAAATTTTTCTCATCAACCAATATCAGATCAACAAACCATTTTATCATTATAAATTTAAAACCATATCGATAATATTGTCAAGACTATCATCGACGCCACTGAAACGAGGACGAGGGCCGATAAATAAAAAGACGGGGATTATCGGACGAGGGCCGATAAATAAAAAGGTGTGTGGATTGAACCCGTCTCAAAAATGGGGCGTAATGCCTGCTCCATGATATATTCCCCTTTACGTTTTACTCATAAACAATACGCTTACTATTCTAAATTTCTAAAAATGTGAAGCAGAATTATTTGTAAAGTAAAAGAGATCATTTGATTACGAGAAATTTAAATTTTAGCCAGCAGTAAAAATGCAATATACGCTTAAGTATTACTGTTATTTCTAGTTCATGCCATTGTCCCTAGTTCATGCCAGATTGCTGTTTCTTCTTTTAGGCAAGTAAAGTTTTCTGAAAAGCAGAAATCTGAACATGATTTTAAAAGGATTCCTCTTAAGAGAAATATAGAGACAAATTTTGGAGCCTTTCTCTTATAAAAATCTTTATTCAACCGGAACGAAGCAATGTTACGAATTTTGTGTACAAGCTATTCGTAGATACAACTAAGACGTTCGAACCAATATTAATGGAAAATAATTGAACTAAGGATTTACGCAACAATAGCTTGAAATACCTAGAGTTTAGTTTGGAATATTCTGGCATTTAGATTACCATCTTCCTAATTATGCATGAAGACCATACTAAAGTGAATTCATATTACACCATTTTCATCACTATATTTCAATAAATATGCTCTAAATATTTTCTTCATTCCACTGCCCTGGAGTATTAAATGTGCAGAGAAAATCCTTAATAATATAACATTGAAATAAAACAATTCAATTAAAATAATCAGGGAAAACAAATTCGGCAATCAGCATATAAAATTTTTTTTAAAATGTAGAGTTTATGAAAATAAAGAAGGAGCTTTTACTTACTATTACTTTTTTTCTGAAAATGCAAAAATACAAGTATTTTCAATACATCATATACCTTTTGATCTAAAAAATATAGAAATTAACTATGGCAAACTTTCTTTCCAACTTTTTTTATAAACATTTTGTATGTATGAACTGATTTTCCCTACGTATCTTGATTCTCCGGACAGTGCACGCATATTGATCTAAAAGTTTTGCCTAAATTTCCTCCTCTGAATCACAGAGATGATCAGGCTCAGGAATCACACATCGAGAAAAATTCACTCTTGTTTGACTTTGACGAGTCCTATGAAAGTTATTCTTCAAAGTGGCGATTTTTGTACAACGAATATTCAACAGAAAACTTCCTTGATCGAACTTTTTTTATTCTTATTTTAATTTCAGTTTTCCTTCTCAAGAACGTAAATGTTTTGGGGTAGAAATGCTTTTTGTAGTTCACCTAATGGACTGCCGATGACAGGAAATGAAAGTACAGATTTTTCTCCTTCAGTTCCTTCTAATTCAGTTCTAAGTATTTTGGTCGGAGCATTAGTAAGGTTAGTGTTTCAAAATTAAAAAGGTTAGTGTAAGAAAATAGAAATTGGCATCCGGC